CAAAACTCAGCCAAAATAACACGTTGCTGCCAGAGTTCCACCCAGTACTGTCAATGAGCACAAACTCATTCACCCAACATCCTTGCCCTGCTTTGTTACAACACAGCCACCCAGGTTGTGGTTAGGATAGTATGACAGCACCCTCTCTGCTACAAAAGATGAGCCCCACCTTGCCCCAAAGCTCCCAACACATGGACCCCCTTGACCTGAGCCTGAATTCTGCAGCTCAGTCCTGCCCAGCTGAAATGCAAGGGAAGCAGCAGCACTGCAGAATGAAATACTGTCACCAGCAGCCCCTACAATCTGCCAGGCTGCTCCTTCCAACTGCACAAGGACTCAGGAAGCACTTCCAGCTGAGTCTGCGTGCCATGACGGGTTCAGACTGTTATCAGAGACTGAGAAAAATTCCTTGGAAAGATGTGTACAGGTCTTTTAAGAACCCTAGACAGGAACCTCATCTGTCAGTAGGAGCAAGTCTTCAGGACAGAAGTTAAGGAACAGCAAGAGGTCCTTGTAACAACAAAGTATGTACTAATCCAGTGAAAGCACATAACCTAATAAGCATAGAGAGAGACTAGCAGATAATACAAAAACAAAGTGCCAAAAATTTTTCTCAAATGGCTGAGAAAAACAAATGTAAAATTTGTCTTCCTTGCTGAAGATTGAAGAACTGTCCTAGTGTCCCTTTTGGCTGTTGAAAATTAGGGCTGTACTGGAGATCAGTGATGCCCTATTTAAAACAGAATGAAATACCACCTGGTAGGATCCCAGTTTACCTGCACTCAGGATCTGAAGCATCTCAAGGGAAACCTCAGTGAGAGGCATGGCACCTGCTGCTGTTGTCTTCTGACTGCCAAACTCCACAGGAGGTGGACTGACTCTCTTACATCAGCACAAGCTGGGAGTGATCAGCAGTTTAGCAGGCACCTGAGTAGAACATTTTTTCCAGCTCCTACTGATCTGCTAACCTATTTTAATTCTCATGCATAAAAGAAAGTATAACCTTGCTCCTCTTCCTAGAATATCTGCTGACCCTGGTCCAAGCAATTTTGTGGAATTCAGGACGTGCTAACTGCAACACTATAAGGGAAAAACTTGGGGCCCAGCTATGTTCACTCTAAGGAAGTCCTAGGAAATGAATGGCAGTTACAGAATGAGACTGACAAAGCCTGCATCCTCACCTACACATAAGCATCTCCAGCCCCTTGTACCCTCTGCTGCCACGTACACACAGCCAAGATGGAAGCAAAATTTGCATGCTGGGATTTGTGGCATCTGTGCAAAACTGGGGTGTGGGACACAAGGGACTCAATGATCACTGGACTGCTTGTGGCAGGAGAACCCAGGCTTGTGTTTCTCCACTACAAAATGACAAAGGCACTTCCTAAGTTTACTTTAGGCGGAGCTGTGCTTACTGATCCAACCAGCACCTCAGTCAATGAAAGGCACTGCTGACTGTGAAGGCAACAGAATACACCCCAATCAATATTAAAAGCTTCTGTAAAGGCACCAGCTGTTCACCACTGCTCTTAACCTTCGTGCTGCAGAGTTTAAATGAACCTCAAGGTAGTGTCAGGACAAAAATCACCTCCTATATGACACAGAAAGAAGCTGAACTTCAATTCTCTTATTTTTCTTTAGACCCCAAATACTCAGATACTAGCCTAATCTCTGTGCCAGCACCTGAGTTTACTGGCTCTTCCAACAACAGTGATTTGTTAAGTTGATGAGAGTAAAAAAGGAGACACAGCAGTGTGGTAAAGAAGGGAACTTGTAGAAGGAGAAAAGAAAATTTAAACTGTGCTCTCTCTCTCCATCTCAGTATTTTCTTGCAATACTTTTTCCTGCACCCTAAGTACTAAAGACAAATGAATATCTAATCAGGCTACCCACAGCTGATTTTCTGTTCTCCAGGAACAGAACTACAGAGCCAAAAGAAGCAACATGTCTTCCAGCAGACAAGCCTGGGCATTCATGGAAATGAAGTCCCAGCAGTTCTGTGAAATGTATTTGCTCTGTGTGTCATTAATAAGCAAAAACCCAGCCCAAAAAGCCAGGCTAAGGAGAAATTTCGATTCTAACTTGGCCAGCTGGCCAGTTACATTTGTAATTATGAAAGTTAATGAGAGAGTAATCATATTTCACAGTTCACAGACAAAGTCATTTCCTTTAGGAATTAATGATGGTTTAAATCATTGATTCCTCTCCTATAAACTGTAGCTGTCACAGAGTTTTGAAGGCTATACTTTAAATCTGTCTTCAAAGAGCAACACTTTGGTAAACGTGCATTGAGAGGAAAAGTGCTTAAACCTCTCCAAGGGGAAGAAGAGAAAAGCTGATCTTCCCTCATCCCCCTGCTCCCAACAACACAAACATTTCTTGTCACAGCAAAGAAACAGCAACTGGATGACTAAATAATGATAATGACTGCTGCTCAGTGCACTGCTGGGCTTTGATTAGATTCTTCTTGGCCTCTAACCAGATTTAACAAAAAAAACCTAAACACAAAACCCCAAAGAAAACACATTGGCCATTTAGAAGAGGCAGGACTGATGCTAATAGGATCAGTACAGTGCTCAGTTAAGATGCTCCAGGGTCATTGTCTCTGTCCAGAAAGACCAGATCCTTCACTTCAGTGACTTGGAATGAAGTAAACAAAGACATTGCCCATCAGGCCATGAGCTGCTCCCACGGCCCTTTGCATCAAAAGTTCCATAGCCCAAAAACCACAGCTAAACAGGCCTTGGGGAACATCCACCTCTGGAAGCCCAGGAGTGTTGAAATTTTCACATCCTAAACTAACTGCCCTGTGCCAAAGAGGCAGGAGCTATGAATGTATGAGCAGATTGGGAAGACATTAAGGAAAACGTTTGAAACACACTGTCCCTTCCAGAATCTCTGCCTCATCAACGCTCCATCTGTTCCCAAAAATTCAATGGAAAAAATGAAATCTCCATTTTCCTGATTTCTTTAAATTCACTCTCACTGTTGCTGCTCTGGTTTCTGGCACAATGCTGCATCATTTAAACCTCTATTACAGTCTCTGATGGGCAGAGCCAGTGCGGAGGTGGTGTGATCAACCAGCTGAAACCAAAAGTACATTCTGGGCACACCTTCCTCTAGAAGACATTCTGCTCTGACCCAAGGGAAAGTTGTGAAAGAAGACTTGTTACACCTTACAGCAGCTTGTCTGAATAACCTTAAGCATTCACCCAAAGCAACAAACTCCAGAGCTGAATAAGGCAGCAGTTTTTGACCAGCAGGCTCTGGGAAATCTGGCCATCAGTAAGAATATCTTTAACTCTTTAGCAGCTCTCCAACAGTTCTGTGTGTACACTAAGGGCACTTTTCCTCAGTTATTGAGCCTTGGACCTACTGTAGCATTTTCCACCCTTTGACAACAGAAGATTCAGTCAATATATATCCACTGTGCTTCCACAGATTAACTTTGTTTCCTGGTGCACTGGCTAGATCTTTTCCTTCCCTTTCCATGCCTTTGGTCCATCTTGATAGGCCGGGAACTGTTTCGCATGCAGATCAATGCATACTGCATTGATGTAGTATGCATCTTTCTCTCATATAAAAAAGGTAATGTAAAAAGGGCCATTTAGGGCTCCACCTAAGCTGGAATAGGGGCTGAAGAGTAGGTTGTTCTCCTTCAAACTCCCATAAGGGCTAGTCAGGCCCTGGTACTCAATGCTATGAACTCCCCGAAGAACAGATGTGCTGTGCCTTGATGCCACACGACAGCCAGTAGGACTAAGCAGGCACCACACATAAGGGAAGAAAGAGATGCAGATGTCATTACTTGGCTGATGACACAGGTCAGCCATAGCACAAGCATGAGGCACAGTGACTCCCAGGCATGTCTCTGAGAATCAAGGCTTCTTGGAGATGCTCTTTTTCCAGATCAATGCCTGACTGCATATTTCTGCCTGGAAGAGAACCAAACATCACATTCTTTTTCCTCTAAAGCTGTAAACTGAGGAGAGGGAGCTTCCATCCCTTTTACAGCCAAAGTACAGGCTCACATTCAGGCTGGGTGTGAAACAGCCCACTGTGCCAGTTCAACAGTGGGGTCAATGTGACTTTGCTCATAAGACAGTAGTAGGAGAATGACATAAAATCTGGCTTCATATATCCCAAAAGTTTCTCCAGCTTCCTCTCCAACCGCTTGAACTTTAATTCCTTAGAGAAAAGTAATTCATAAAAGACAGCACCATCAGCTAACAACAGCCTCTGCATGTTCAGCATGTAAGAGGCTGATGCAGCCTCACTGGAAGGGTGGAAAGGAAATAGACACAAGCAACCCTTGAGAATCATAGTGTCAGTATGGCCATGACCCTGGCATAGAGACAAACACCAGGTAAAGAAAGAAGTAGCCAAAATGAATTGTATGTGTCATTTCTGTAAAGCCAGAAATTCAGCCTTTGGTAACTGCTGTTTTGACTTTTGCCCTCCTGATCACAAACAGGCTCCCTAGAAGAGTCATCCTAAAGGGAAATTCCAAAATCTCACCACCTCCATCTGTTTCTGACCTGGAATAAGGCACAGAATATTTACTAGCACTAGCATCAAAATCAACAGAAGAGGATGTCACAAATGCAGATAATAAACTAGGGAGATGTAACAAATGCAGATGGCACAAACACAAATAGGAACACATATGATGGTGGCAAAGGTGAATTTAATTATTTCTGGGACTACGTTTTACCTAATACATCCATGAATCATCACAAAAGTGGTATTTGGAGATTGTCCTTCAAGAACTGGAGCTTTTGACTGGCTCACATACCAAAAAAAAGCCTGTGTAATACAGCGGCACTCTGGCCACCATACAGCTTTCTGCTGCACAACCCAGGTAGGTTGCTGCTAGGATGAAAACTCCTTCACTACAAGTGATAGAGGGAGCTGTGATTTTGGTGCCTGAATTCAAGATGAAGTCTCCCAGTAATGCACTCCTTCCCCTCCCTTTCAGGCTACTCACATCAGCCAGCCGGATGAACTTTCAGGCCCAGCTTAGGACAGGATCTTCTGATGACGACTTGTACTCTGTCTTCTCTTCACATGCAACTGCTACATAACAGCTCATACCTAAAAAAGCCAAAGAGAAAGAAAATTCTTATTAGTGCCATTAATCCTGCTGTCTAACACATTCACAGAGAGGGCTGTGCCAAACCAATAATTCATTCATAGAAATAATGCTACTTTTAGATGAAACAATTACCTCTGCTCACCATGCAGGAAGCACAGTTAGTATAAACATCAGTCTGCCCAGATCCACATCCCAGCATCCTCTGTATGAGAACCAATATTTATGGTTGTCTCCAGGGAAGGCTGAAACCACATCCGTTTTCCTGCCTTTCTGTTAGAGATTCCCCCTTGAGCAGCAAGGAAAGCTGAATAGCACAAATATTCATACCTCCTTACAACCTACAGTCTGTTTACCAATGTAAATCACTGTTGATTTCACTTCATTTAGTATACTAGTTTGCAAAATGCAAAAAGAAGTAGTAAAATAGGCTTGTCTGATACAAAGCCTGGGCTGGGAACTAGGGATAACAGCAACTACAAAATGTAACTCACCACTGCCAGGAATAAAGAAGGAAGGGTAGATAGTAAATGTAAATTAAGAAACACATACATTAGGTTGTATTCAGACAAATTCCTTAGTTAGGATACACAGCTAGACAGACACAGAGGTAGAATTCACACAGAAAAATTAAATTATTTTTTTCCATGCATTGATGCTTACTAAAAGAAATTAACTCCAGTCCAATGTTAAGTCTAAATGGTAAGATCTGACATAGATTTGATAGATGCACCTTTATTGTTTCACTCAATAACATTAGCAGCAGTCTGCCGTAGTGAGATGCCTCTGCAGACAGACTTGTAAGTATTGACACTCCTCATCTTTAATCATGTCATTTATCAGGCTGAACTAGGCAGCCAATCACTCTGAGCTCTTGCTGTAGCAAGTGAACAGAGGAGATCTTCCAGAGAGCAGTGCAACTTTTTTCTACACTACCTTCCTCATACTTCTCTGTACTCAAGAACTTCAAGAAGAGGTTGAGGAGACCAACTAGCAAAGTTTGATGCCTGTGCTGGATGACTGAACAAATCCTCATATGTGTTTTATTCAAGCTCTGAGGGGAATGAAGTCGCATTTCTTTCAACTAGCAATGCAGGACCAGGACCTCCAAGGGCCTTGTACAACCAGCCTCACCATTTAGATATTCTCAGCGCACACAAAGCAAAAACACGACACAGAGAAAGCAGAAGGTGATGCTCAGAGAGAAAAGCACAAATAAGGAGTATCAAGGACCTTGCACAGGAGCCATCTCAGACCATGCTTACAGAGGTCCAATAATAAGATTTTTTTACAAGCCCGAAGACTTCTTTCAAAACTCATGAAGATGCCAAGCAATGAGCCTAGATGAACCAGTATAGGTTTTAAAAAAACTAGAATAGTCCTAGGAAAACACAAGCTGAAACAAATTAGAGTTTTCTGTTGAGGATGGTTTAATAGCTTCTCCATCTTCAATGAGTCAAAAGGGATCAGCAAAAGGACGCATTTGAAAGGCTTATTGCTAGTACTGGAAAGAAAATTTTCTATAAAGATGACCAGAGTATGCACCAAGAGAGAGTCAATATTCCAGTGGCAAGGTCAAGCCTGGTTTTCCTGCAACACAAGAAGCTGCCCTGCTGGCATTAACTGCAGTTTGTTTGCTTTCCCAACCTGCCTTGTCCTTGTGAGTTGGCAAAAGGCTGAAGCTGGCCAGAGTCCCAACTACCAAAAGCTGCCCAAAGCAGAGAACTGCTATCACAAGGACTAAGAGCAAGACTGAAAGGGAGAGGAGAGAGCAAATGGCACAAAACCCAAAGCACAGAAACTTCTCTGGTGCTGAGAATTGTTACAAGCAAGGCTGTAACCTGGCACATAGCCAGGAGCTCAGCAAGACAAGAGAATACAGAGGAAGGTTATGACTGGTCTGTGCCCCAGTCTAGAAGTAACACCAAAATGCTCAAACTTTGCTTGAAAATATGTACCTCTTCAGCTCCTGGAGGACCATAAAAAGCTATTTTTGCTGAAAAATCTATGCAGGACTCACAGAAAGATTCAGTTTAGACAAACTTCATACCCTCTGCTGTGGGAGTACTTCACTTTCTGTCAATGGCAGCAAAATTAGGGAGCTGAGAGTGTCAGAGAGAAAGGACACCATACCAAGAAGTTTTCAACATGTTTTAATTTTACTTCTGTTAGTAGTCAGCTGTGTGCTGGCTTTATCTGTTTCTAAGAGGTTGATTTCCACCACAGAAGCAAAGTGTGATGAAATAGTTTCTAATAATACAAAAGGTACTTGGATACTGCCTGCATAAGGAGCCAGCAACCAGCACCAACGATAACTGAGCTGCTCAGTGAGCTACAAAAAGCAAGTTCCACACAGAAACTTTGACTGAATGCAGCAGGTGAGAAAATCAAGAAAATGGAGAGAAAACAAAAAAAAAAAACACAAAACCAAACCAAACCAAAATCTCACCACACGGCTAATAAAGAGGTTTCCCTGCAGAGTGTAGAGCTTTCTTCCTTCTTTTTTTTTTTCCCTTTAATTTTTATAACTAAGGGTCTCCCTGACTCTGGACACACTTTGAGCTTAAAGACAAATCACTGTGGCTGAGTACTTCTGATGCACTGAGTGACAGCCTCAGTCTGTCCTGGTACCCAAAGCTGGTATAAGAGGCTTTTCAGAATGACATGGGAAGGGAATAGCAGGAACACCACGGGGATGAGACTAAAGTAATAAGGTCTACAATTTTACAGATGTTTCTGGAGGCCGTTTTATTTCATGCTAAGGACTGATACACTGGCTGACAACACTATGGTAGTGCAGAATCAAGCTCTCTTGCTTCTTCTCCCTTTTTCAGATCAACAGCCAGGCACATCTTAAATGAGTTGGACACAGGCCACACTCAAACCACATCCCTATGGAGGAAGGAATGCTGCCAAAAGAAAACAGGAGAGGTGAGAAACAGGGGAAAATTTCTTGCTGCAGACAGTGGCCAGGCATGATCCAGAAGGACAAATCTAAGAATACACTTACGAGCCCTGATAAGCACACCTAGTCCCAACAAACCCACTGTAGACACAAACATCAGCTCAGCATGTTGCTATTCTTGCAGTAATTTTCCACACTTCACAACCTGAGCTCACACACAACCAAGCAGACAGCACAGCTTCCAGTCCCCCTTAGGCAGCAATGGAAAACACTCTCCAAGTGATCTCACACCTGAACACAACAGGAGGGCAGCACACACACACACACACACGGCCTCCAGTTCAAGAACCAGAGGTGCCAAGCAAAAGAAACATAGGATTCTCACATTGTTTTCAAGGTAAAAAGAAAAAGGGCCTGACCCTGCTTGACTTCATCATGTTGTTTGTACAGCACAGTGCTTTGGGCACTGAGCTGCAAAATCAAAGCAAGTACAATGGCAATGAAAATATAATCAAACACATCAGTGTGGGAGCAGCTGTGCAATGGAAAAGTTAGGAGCTGGAAACTAAGATCAACAAACAATCCTGAGATCTAAAGGCCATTTAGAAAACAACAAATTCAAGCAGCTCTGTAAGACTAGTAGGATAAAGACATTATATTTCCCATTGTCCACATAAGAACAGGCAGTCCCTTTTCAAGGAATGTAAATGGACAAGACACATGAGGGGGAAAAAGATGCTCAGATGAGGAGTGATTTGACCTGATCACACAAGAATCAGTGCCAGGAACAAACTGTGACTCCAGCTTTCCTAGTACAATGCTCTTCCCATGGTCTATACTGCCTCCAAGCCTGAAAACTGACACCCACCTTTTGAAACAGTTTTCACTGAAAACTGTTTGTCACCATCCCACCTGCTGGAGCTTACAACTCCCTGTGGAGCTCATAGCAGAGATGTTCAAGTGAGCACTTCATAATCCACAGAAGGCTGAATCCACCAAGGTAAATTGAACAACCAGTGACAATAAAACAAGCTGATCTATTTTCTCGATGCTGATCACACAGTGCTCACAGGGACCCTTCAGCTGGGAAAGCTACAAGTGAGGCCAACCATCAGTAATGGTAAAGCAACAAGAAGCAGTGCGGAAGGGAAGACAAGGGTCCCTGTTTTTAACCTGAGCAACTGTTTGCTAAGTTGATGCTTGTCCTTGGTCTCAGATATAGTTATGCCCTTCCACTCTGGAAGTCCTAAGACTTGTCATTCAGCTCAGGAGAGATATCAAGATATTTTGAAAATTTCTTACCTGAGCCACTCCATCACAGTAGTTCTAGCTTAAGTATCAAATACAGCAAAAATGCCATCCTCAGCTAGTGCAGCAAAAATCAAATTCTGATAATTTTTTTGCTAACTAAAATTATTAATAATAATGAAGTAGTAGTAATAATAATAATAATCATCATCAAACTTACTGATAAGCCGTCTCTAATATCCTTGGGTTTGGGACAGTTTATTAGATTTTACAAACTGCCTATATGCTATGAATATGGACATCTTAGGGACAGATGGGCAGAATTCAGCCTGTCCCTATGGACTAGAATGACTCAACAAATACTGCTTTGGGCTAACAGAAATACTAAAGACAACAGTGATGCTGTTATAAATCTACATGCAAGGCCAAATCCTGCTAAAGCATGTCATTTTCAGTGAAGCCAACAAAAGAGGCACAAATGCATTTCAGGGTAGATCCTGATTTCTCAAGATTGGCTTAGATTTTCTCCAATATACAAATGAACTCCTCTGCCTGGCAGACCTTTCATTTTAGTGAGCTTATGTAAACCAGTGGCTTTCTTCACCCACTGCTCAACAAAAATGACCTATATAGTATGTGACCTTCAAATGCAAATTCCTTACATGGACTACTTGGGTTCAACTCTTTTGAGAAAAACTGCCGGCACATAACTGATTAGCTCGAGCTGCTTCCTCAGAAGAGGCTGCTAACAAAATTCCTCTTTCAGCTTTGTTCAGTCCATGCCCAAAAGACTGCTTTTACCTGTCCAAATAAGTCAGTATAATCCATTTCACCTTGTCTCCACCACAG